CTTCTCATGCATGAGGGTGCGGGTTCGAAACCTACCAACGGCAAGTACCAATGTGACTTTTTCCGAGTTATATGTACTTTCTAAGATTATTTAGACACCACTGACAAACGGTGAAGGAAAAACATCGTGAGGAAACCTGGGCTTATAATTTCTAATTATAAGTTTGAAATCGCCAACCCGCATTGAGCAAGCGTGGTGATTAATGCTCTAACCTTCTCCGTGTGAGAAGAGGCCTTGCTCAGCAGTGGGCATTTATAGGCTGTTGATGATGATGAATTGGATGTAGTTGAAATGATGGATGAATGAAAAAGTAGCCTTTGTTACTACGTGGGCTACTTCTTATTATAGATTATAGTTTTTTTTTTATTTTCTAAATATGTTTTCGTAAAGGTAACGGGAATTCGTATTATTTCTTTAAAACCTACATCTTTGATGCGGCTAAGATATATAAATCAAACATTCTGTAAGTTTCATCTCATTTTCAAATCACTATTTAAACTCATACGTCTGTCACAAGAGCAAGAAAACAAATGTTATGAGGATTTTTTGACTACTACGTGAAATATTTGTAATCTCCGGAGTCTAACAAAAAAAACGTAAAAACTAAAAAGCAACAAACTATTCTTGGCACCTACTGGTAGGTTAGAAGTCGGTATATAAGGGCATATATACCTCTATATATATATATATAAATAGTCACACACGTATACATATACATAAGTAAATATTAAGGTCATATCAACATTATTATTATTTTATTCTATCATTGTTAGTGAAAAGAGCTATATGTATAGACCCATTCTGCCATATAGGTGCTGCCGTATAAGTTCTAATTATAACAAATTAATCAAGCCAAAACACAAAGCAGTTAATATAAATCGTTGAGGAGTTCCCTCGACTGTCTGTCGGCTCCATCATCAGGTCGACTCCAGACTCTTATCAAATTGTAGTGCTTAAAAATTCTTATTGAAAAACATAATAGACGCATTACTTGCCGCTACAATTTTCGAAAGTTCCCCTCGGTTTCTCTAGGATTCCATCATCAGATCCTGACCTCATGAAAATGACACCCTTTCGAGAGCATAATCTTTTAAACAAAATAAGAATTTTTGAAATCAGTTTACAAATGGCGGAGTAATTGGCGAACAAACAAAAACAACCAGCCCAACATAATACCTCCTCCTTTTTTTAAAGTCGGTAGAAACTAATTACAAAGGTTTGAATACTAAAATGTATTATTCGTTGAAAACCCACAGTATTTCGATGTTGTCCATCAGGGCCGGGATTTGTCGAACTCCTTGTAGGTATACCTTTAAAATTATTTTTACCAATAAAACTATCGTTTGTAATACGAGAAGAGCTTATGTACCTATGAAATTGCCGTTATGTATAAAAGATATTTAAAATAAATTGTTTCATATATTTTTTATTTGCATGCTTTCAATGCGTCAGCAGTAGCAGTAGCCTTCGACGTAAGCGTCACAACAGTATCGCATTATTAAAATATTGTTTATACATTACGGTCTTTACTTATTTATTTATTTATTTATTTATTTAACTTTATGCAACAAAAGTACATAGCCGGGCTTAATGCCATGGGCATTCTTACTAGCCAACCTTTAGGTGATGCAGTGAGAGCGTGGTCGGTGCAATAAGTTGACAACTATATCTAATATAATTTTTAAAATGACAGTATACATACAACGGTCTATTGTAAATATAAATATTTTATTAATATAGATCAACATATATATATAAATAAATAAGTATATATGTATATATATGTGCAATCAAATATTCAAACATAAAAGAGATAGGTTATGAAGACTCTACCAACTTTCCACCCGAAATCCACTTACGAACTCCAACCTTGAACGCCTGCTTACTGGAGGACTTCCTGACTTCCAAGGGTAGCCTATTCCACAGAAGAATAGATTGGATGTGAAATGATGAGTGGACAGTATCGGAACTGTGAGAAGGACAGTGAAGAAGAAGATTGTGAGAAGAACGACTTATAGACCTATGATCATGTTGTAATGATCCGATTGAAACCGAAACCGAAACTAATACAGACAACACATAATAAACTGAACTAAAATAAATTATGACATTAAAATTGGCTTATCAATAGATAAATAATATGTTAAGTAATGATTTAAAAAACCTATTTCTACTTTAGTAATCTGGTACATACTTAATATACCTAATTATATTATCATTGGGCACTTTCGACGAATCATTAGAATCTTTTACTTTGCTCAATTTGATTGGATTCGGTCAATCAAACTCAAGCACAAAAAAAAATTGATAACACTACAGTGAAATTGAGATACTAATAATTGTATTGAAGACTTTTTTTTATTTGCGCGCTTTGTGCTGGTCGACGTCACATTGAACACTGTATTGACAAACGTCTGTAAGGAGGCTGGGGACTCCCTTCGAGCCTCGGCTTTTTTGTACGGGGATTCAACTTTACATAATATGTACATATTTCAATGTTCCCATCAACTTGTGACTCTTTCACGCCAAAACGATAGAAGGGATCAGTATAATATTTAGAACAGGGGTAGGTTGTGGTCTGGAATAACACATAAGTTACTTTTTATCCCACGAGAACGCGGTCGCAGCCGCTGGCCGGCGCTAGTCGAAAATAAATAAATCACCGAAAGGTAATCTGCTATTAATGGTCATACATCTTCCGTATCATTCTCCATCTCCAAATCTATTTCTTTGTTTGATTGGCTGTCAGTTGGTCGAGGATTCAATATCTATTCATTCATTCTGAGTGTCTGTGTTACGTATAGACATAAACAAATCAGAAGAAAGCAGCGAGGACACAGAGTTGGTGCGCATGCGCGAAGAGCTGCAGTGGCTACAGGCGCCGCCACCCTCCTACCAGCAGGTGAGTTCCTTTTAGTTAAATATTGTCTCCAGTCCTAGAATTGCAATGTTTAACCTTATGTTCGATTTCTTGGCGCGCCTTGTTCTTGTCCACGTCACATAGAACACTGAATTGACAAAAGTCTGTTAGGCGGCTGGGGACGACTTTCGAGGCATGTAATTTTTTGTATGGCGATTCGACTCTATATGTCTATCTCAATGACTATAACTGTTTGGCTCCAGCATAATTCCATATTTGCAGGAGACGTCGGCCCCGCACTGCCTGCGCTGTCCCCTGTCGCACCGGTTGCTGCGGGAGCCCGTGTTCGCGGCGGACGGCTACACGTACGAGCGCGCCAACATACTCGACTGGTTCCTGGCTGCCGGTACTGACTGGCCGTGTGTGTGTGTGTGTGTATGTGTGTGTGTGTGTGTGTGCGCACGCTGTATGTGTGTGTGTGTGTGCAGGTAGCGCGGTGTCGCCGGTGTCGGGGCGGCGCCTGCTGTCGAGTACTCTGCAGCTCAACTACGCGCTGCGGGACCAACTTCGTGACTTTCTGCGTAGCTGAATTACTTCGTATCACTTCTGTTATCTCCAAATTTGCTGTACTACAAACTCGAGCCCCGTATTCTTTATTAAACTCAGATATGACACCACTTGGTGCACGTTGTTTTATTCTGCTGCTCCTGCTACGAGTTGCAGGAGTGGTCAGTCGATGTGATTCAGAATTACATAACGACGTCGTTAGCTAGCACGTGCGATGTGTAATGTTGTTGTACGAATGTTCAACACCCTCTTCAGATATAATTAACCAACTAAAAACATTCTGTAAGAAACTAGCCAAGTCTCAAAAGAGCCGCTCGTTCATCTCTAAAAAGTAACGAAATCTGATAATAAGATGTTATAGCTTAAATTAAGTTGACCTTAATGCAAATACCTAACTTTTACCGAAAACAAAAACGTCATTAGCTTCACTTACACGATGCGTCATACACCTCACTAAACTAAACTCGACCCGGGATCCAGGTGTGACACTTGACTCCAAACTCCACCTAGATCTGCTCATAGAGAAAACAGTATACAAGGCTTACCAAATGTATGGGTTCATAATGCGCTCCAGCCTTAACTTTATGAGGACCTCATCTTATATATCTCTATAAGGCCCTAGTCCATTCTCAACTGGAGTATATGCAGTTTCAATGTGGAACCCTTCCTACAAAAAATACATAGAGGTGATGGAAAACGTGCAATACAGATTCTTACGAGCCAAGCACTATACTTAGATTCCACAATTCCTACTTGCCTATGACCAGTTACTCAGTCCTTGTCACCCTTAACCCTTTAACCGCCAAGCTTCTGAACTTTCAACTTACCTCCAGCGCCACGTCACTTTAGGTATAAGTTGGAACAGTGTTGGGAACACTTAATATCGATGCATATATTCTTTATTAATTAAAATCAATGTTTTATTTACCTACTTAATAAATAAGCTAAAAATTTTCAATCTTCAAACGAAGTGTACGAAAATGAGTATTCGGGAAATGGCCACGGCGTCGTCCGTTCTCCTGCTGGCGACGGTGACGATGCTCCACGAGCATGTTGTATTAAATTTAATAATTTCATGTAAACTTCTGAGCGGATTTCCGACAGTACGGTTTCCAGCTCAAAAGGTTTTAAAGATGCAAAGTATTCATTTCGTGGATCACTTGGTCTCTGATCAAAAACTTTTGCGTCACCATCTTCTAACTTTGCATAATGGACACATTTGGTTTTGACTGTGTTGATTTATTTGAGAAATAACAAAAACCCAAAAAAGGGCTTACAACACTAGTTGCATTGAGTGATAAATGTTTAACGTGATTTTACGGTGACGGCGCTAAGGCAACTCACAATACAGCGCTATAATCTCCTTGGCCGCACGTAATATTACGATGATGGCGACCGGCGATTGTCCGCACTAGTGCGGTTCTGCGTTATGAAATTTTTATATTATTGTTATAAATATTAAATAATTTTAAACTTAAATACATTTTAATTAGTACAAATACTTGCATCAAAGTAACACTATGGTTATTTTCTAATGAAAGTATACACTTTCATTGCAAATAGTGACAGTAATATCTATAGTGCCTTGTTTGTTCTTAGACAACCTATTAAGTATTTTTCGAATTCGCCCCATCCCTAGTACTCGTAAAATTACGTGATTGGCGATACAGATAATGGAGACGGTGACCACAATTTAATTAAACCTCAAATTTCACAGTATTTATCACTCAAAACATTGAGAAATATCCATAACAATAAAGATTATACCCTACATCTTGAAATTGACACATTTTATATGGAGTTTGTGCACTATAAGAAGATTTTTAATAAAATAACGTGATTGTACGTATGTGGCGATTCGGACACAGCTTTCGAAAACCGTAATATTACGTTGTCGGCGGTTAAAGGGTTAAGCTGTCGTAGAATGTATCTTGAGGCTATTGTATAAATAGTTAGAAAAAATACAATTGTATGAACCTGAGTAAAATGATCTGTTCCGCAGTGCCCAGAACCTGCCACAGGCGTCAGTACGCGCTGGCACACTTATTGCACTTCCATCATGCCGAACTATCTCTGGTCTGCGTTCCCCTACGAATGGTTCACTCGTGCAGTACAGTGTCCACTGTGTAAATTCAAGCGACTTATCCACAACTCTGTTTCATAAAAATTATTTAGGTACGTTCTATTTACTTTCTTTTCTTATATTAAAACTACACCAACAGATTTTATTTTATAAACAATTTTGGCCTCTAGTGATTAACTAATTAGTTTCTGTATTTATTACATTCTAATGGCAACGCGTGGATATTGTTGTGGATTGCATTATTGCCCAAAATGTATCTTGTTTAAACTATACTTAGTAAGACTTTGCAAAGTAACCGCTTACTGTTCCTCTTAATAAAAACAAAAGAAAAAATAACAAATAAACATCTACCTACATGCCAAATTTCAGCCCGATCCGTCCAGTGGTTCGTTGATAGATCGCTATGATCGATATTATTTAGTTTTGCATGTATATATTCTTTACACTACCTGCTTTAATATTAAATTATAATTTTAAATATTTGTACGCCAAAACGGCATAACATGTAGCTCATACTCCGAACTTAACACCATTGCATGTACTCTTGTAATATTACTCATGTTAACGCAAATAAAAAATATCTTTATCTTTATCTTTATCTATGTCAGTCAGTCAGCCACCTTTGAGTTATATATATTTAGATAGTAGAATGAGGCACTGCCATATTTTTCATACAGCTAAGACCTGTTGATGTTTCTTCATCAGAATCTCCAGACTTTCCATTTTTGACATGAAATGAAGCGGCCCACCAAGTTGAATATTCTTTGTAAAGGCAGTACATACCAATCTCTAATAGTTTGGTCGGGCTTTTGTGGTTTCTAAGCAGTACCAGGGCCACCAGGTACTCCAGATCTTCGATTATCCTAGTTTTTATAGTTTTCCCTTTGTCTGGCCATTAAACTTACCTTTGTATCAAATTTCAGTTCTCTAAATTTATGGGAAGTACCAGTTCTATTTTGATGATCATGAGTCGGTGACTGAGTGAGAGTCATAATGCGAAACTTTGCTTCGCATAACTTTGGTACTAAATAACCTATAAACTTGAAATTTTAGATTTTGTGAATGTTATTATAGCATACTGGATGATGACAATTTCTGCGTTCTGGTCTTATCCAGAGGTTCTCAAATGGGGCAAAATGATTCCAATAAACAATGCTACGGTAATGTTTGCTTCGCGCTGGACTTGGCGGAGGCACCACCGTGCGCCCAGATACTACAATTCGTAGGAATATCACAGCAATAATACTAGTAGAAATGTTTCAACGATTTCATCTTTATTTTGTATCACTTAAGATATATATTTACAAAGTGAGGCAGTAACAGTGTCAACGATCCAAACTTTTTACTCGGAACCACTGTTTAACGATTTGCAAATAACAAAATAAACAAAATATTATAATAAGTCTTTGATTATATATATTATATGTCTAGATGAACCGTCGTTATACAATTACAACAAAAATGGCGTTCCATGTGTGCGTGCGGCTTGTGGTTTACATAAATTTATATCTCCCATAAATATTTGGCTACATGCACTAGACCCCTATATTAAATATTAATAATCTTTTTGAATTTGTTTATAAAATATTTGTTTTTTGGACCTGCGTCGATATTTATAATTTTAATGTAACTAATTTATTTCCGTATGAATTATACATTTGAAGATATTATTAACGTTATTTCAAAAACAATAATTATAGTAAATAGGTATTATGGCACCCATTCGACCAAGAACATTCACTAAATCGATTCAATAATTTTATAGAAACTGTCGACGATCAAAACGAACCTTCTTTATTCAGTTGATTAGAATAAATAAGACATTAAAGCGCTGGAAAGTCTAAATTCAATAAACAATAATATGTTATAATTATTTTATTTTTAATTTACAAGCAAGTGATAATTTTCCAGATTTTCCCTCTTGTTGAGAGGGGAATATTGAAAAATAATTGGCAACACTGATAAAATATGGCGGCAATTAGTAAGGTTAAAAACATAGACTAAATAATATAATTTTTAATTATCTAACGATGGATAAACGATCTGTTGAGTACTTTTTAATCGTCTTTTATAATTTGATTTTATGGAGCATGTGGCCATTTGTGCAATGTACTTTTTTATTTTTGTATTTATTTTGTAGCGTAAGTAGGTACATGGCACGTAGTGACGCCTAGGTGACATGGTTGGTACTGTTTGACGGAAAAGTGCATTGCAGTGAACAGTTCACCGTGAACTGACACTCCATCTAGACATTATATAATCAAAGTAGTAAGTATCTTGGGGCCCGCCGGGCTCTGTGGCTGCCCATGACACGGGGCCCACGGCACGGGGCCCGCTCCCCACAGCACAGAGCGCTGCGTCCCCGGCTCGCACTGACCACATCGGTCATATAATTACAAAGTTGATCGTTTTCAATTCAAACAATTCACAGGTTCTCTTACAATTCCTTGCAGCTTTGTACAGTTTAACAAATGATACGTGTAAATACCACGAGTTGCTTGCCAGTGGTTAAAACGATTTCGATGTCGTAATGAGTAGTCGAGCGAGAGTCCGGCGGCGACGAGCCCGCGGTGCCGACCGAGTCGGACCCGGCCACGGCGCCGCCGGACTGCCGGATTAGTAACTTCTTATCGATAAAATTAATTATAATCATTTATAATAATTATGTACAACTTTACAAATGTGAAATACGCCCGAGCAGCGGCCAGCCCGCAAGGCACCGCTTCGCTCGCCTCGTCGACCTATTTACATAGTTTTGTTTCCCATAATATAAACTTTAATAGGTAGATACCGATACGAATAATTTCGTAATTTTAATTATTTAATGTTCTCACATCGTTCATATCACAACGCGTACGACTGACCGTTCCTTTATCTAAGTAATACATCAGAAATTTTTACAATACTTTAAGTTAACACCTCGCATCGCATGCGACGTGTAGCTGGACGTGAGGGCGCGCTCGCCCGACGCACGCACACATTCACACACACACACACACACACACACACTGTCCGCACTGAGTCCGCGCGCGCTCACACTTCGCTGCGCTATTGGCCATCGTCCTCGTCGTGACATAGCACCCTGCAACAGACAGCCTCCGTCAGTACACCGGCGCGAGGGGATGAGGTGAGGAGGAGGGTCGGGGCAGTACTCACGGGCAGAGCAGCGCTAGCGCTAGCAGCAGCAGCAGGCGGAGCAGCACCAACTGCGGGCGGACGTGTGGCGCGGCCGGCGCCAGGCCGGGCAGCCTGGGCAGCGCGGGTAGCGCGGGCAGGCCAGGCAGCGCGGGGAGCAGCGCGGGCAGCGCGGCCGCCGCCAGCAGCGCGCGGCGGGGCGCGGCGCCGCGCGCACCGTTCCCGTGCTGCATGGCCGCCGGCTGCTCGCCTGCAACTCCCGTACGTACCCATGTACTACACTCTCTTGAAATAATCTCCAAAATAATCATGTTAAGATGTTGACCACTAGAAATGTACTGATCGTATGAAATGTTCATAACGCATAGAGTACTGACCGCTGAGCACGTGGAGCATGACGGAGGCGGAGTCGAGGTTAGAAGGCGAACACGAGTAGTTCCCGGAGTCCTCGCGCCGCGGACTGTAGATGATCAGGTTGCCCACCTGCAACACGTGCGGTGAGAGCAGTGAGGTGAGAGTGCCTGCTGGCGGGAGGCCGAGTATGGCAGAGTATGTGGGGACCGCGCAGGTTTACCGTAGTGTCAGGCGCGACGCGCTCCATGCGTATCTCGACGAGGCTCTTGTCGTAGTTGAGCACGCGCTCGTCGTTGTGGTACCAGAAGATGTAGGCGGGCTCCTCCAGCGCCTGCGTGATCACACACTTCAGGCTCACTGTCGTGCCCGCCTTCACGTACAGCTCCGACTCACCCACGATTTCAATCTTTGGCACTGCGGAAGCAAGTAGGAAGGTATTAGTAATACAGGTGCTATAACTATATGAAGACCTTGACGTGTAGAAATTCCTCAGAGATTCAAACGTATTGCTTTGTGTTTCTCCATTTGAGTGAAGTGGACTAAGGCCTAATCTTCCCTTTGCCACACAAATCCTCGAAAAGTTTTCAATACACTTGTTACTCCTCTGGTATTGCGGGTGTAATTGGGTGGCACCGAATACTCACCACCAGGTGATGTGTGTCTACTTCAGACAAAAACTACCGAAAGTTTGTTGAGTGGAAAATATGTTGGTGAGACTCACCTACAACGTTGAGCTGCACGAAGTGGCTCATCTTGGGCTCGGTGCCGACCTGGCACTCGTACACGCCGGCGTCCCGCGCCTGCACGTACTTCACCTGCACACACATTCGTTGAGTGTCACACTCACACCGCGCTCCAAGAACGTTAGCCAATAACTGTATGAATTCTGAATCGCAAGCTAGACTGAAGTAGACAAAATTGGGTGAAATACCTTCCTAAATACGTCATGCTTTGTGATCGAGAATGAAATCGTACAGAATGTGCAAGTTTGAATAATACAAGACGCACCTGGAGAGTCCAGGTGTCGGTGGCCTCCACGAGGAAGGCCTGGAAGCGCTCGTCGGCAATGAACGTGAAACGGTCCACAGTGAGGATGTGCGCGTCGCGCCGTCTGATCCACGACACCGACTTGTTGCTCAGCTGCCGCACCTGTACGGTACTATTGTCAATAACCTGTTTCTTGTAATATATCTATTGCTATAAATGTCTCACTTCGTATTAAAACTGTCGTGAGACTTACTTATTAAGGTAATTATGTTGTACGACTTATTTACGCAACGGGGTAACTTGACTAGTTTCACGCCACGGCAGGGCCTTGCACGACAAATGACGAAAACAAACTCAACTTGTCAAGTTCCGTCGTCAAACAATTATGTATCGTTTGTAAAATCTAATGCATGAGTCAGCATGAGTCACTTCACTGTTTTGTGGGATATTGAAACGAATCACTTGTTTGGCCTAGTATAAAATATAACGACGCGTATAGTGTGTACCTTGCAGGGCAAGTAAGCATGCGTCCCGAGCTGCGTGGTGATGTTGTTGGGCGCGGAGGGGTCGAAGTAGGGCCCCGTGTACAGCCCCACGTAGCGCTTGGTGAGCCGCGGCCCGGCGCCCGCCTCGCCACACGACAGCACTGCAACCACACCACGTTACACATTACAATAATATTCCAAACTACCGACCTGCCTCGGTTTGTAAGTATAGAGTCCTTTAGACAATTTGATGTGGTAGTTCGTAACATAAAATGCATTCAGCCACAATTTCACAATTATTATAGAGGTATAATGCGAGTAACTACAAAACGTGTTATTCCGCGAAGATCAGACCGTGGCGTAGTGCGGCGTGCCACCTAGTCAGGGTGGTACAACGACAATGTGGTGCTGTGTATTTAACTGTGTATGGGAATGTGTGTTCTAAGTAACTGTAAAAGCTGCTTTAAAATTCATTAAGTGCTTTAACGAATTGAAGTACAAAAATGACTATGTATTCAGCATTGTTGGGCAAGTAATCGCAGAAATTGTGCCCAACCGAGCGAGGGGCTGGTGTTCAGTTACCGGTTGGAAAATGTATTGATAAAACAATATTTATTTATGTAGGTACATGTTAGAATATCAGTTAGGTTTCTCACACGCAAGATGCATGACAAGTTCGTAGCCGAATATATAGGATATTGTTTCATTTCGTCATCACTTTTAGGAAGGAACTTTATTTCCCAAACGCTGCTGGACAGTTCCAATATGAACTTGGATAACACAAAAATCGCACAAGTCTGTCAGGACAGTGTGTGTGGGAGTCGTAGAGGTCGCCACGTGCGATACTTCATATTCCGGAATAAATTTAGTTTTTATCGATGCCACCCGTCTGTACCCGATATTGAAGAAGGAAATGAAATCCTAAATCATTTCAGCTTCACAGAAGACAGTCTCAAGCCCTGTAGTAAATACGATCTTGGTGTACTATTACTTACTGTGCTTAGTGATTGAAATGATTCACGCCCGAGACTGTGCTACTGACTGATTGAGATGATTGCTGATCGAAATCTTTAAGAATGGTTTGAAACCAGGAATGATTTTATTTAGCTATATTTACATTAATTGCATCAATTTGTATCTGTATCGTATGCGAAAGTGGCCTGATTTTAACATATTAACAGTGAAGTTATCAATCTGCGGGTATACTATTATTGTAATATAATTATTATACAATATATTACAACAGTAGTGTGTAACAATTCTTTACAATAAAATCTTATAAAATCAATTTAACTCGTCGAGTACCGGTTTTGAAGAAACAATTATAGAACAATAGGTTGCGGTCACCGGTGACCGCTTGGTGTTTGACAGTTTAAGAACGTTAAAATGCTACCTACTGGCTTCAACGTATGCTCCGAGCGTGTACTCCGAGCGAGTGCTACGAGTAAGTGCTACGAGCAAGTGCTACGAGCGAATACTTTTTTTTTTAAGGGGGGAAAATCATCGAATTACTGCTCCCGCCAGGGTAAGGCGGGAGGGAGTGCCAGACTTTTACTGACTAAAAACCACCCCGTTCCTTCTCCTGCACGTCGAGCCGGAGCCCCGGTTACCCGTTACGTTCTCCGCGACATGAGCGAGTACTACGAACTTTTGCTTTGAATGTGTGCTAAAAGATTTTACAAGTTATTTTTAGTTTCTATTAACAGTATTATACATTATTTGTAATGTTAACAAATCATATAAAAATCAATAAAGAATAAAATGTGACAATCATAAACCATCAAAAAATTCCTCATCGTTATTGAGAGGAAGGCTGCCCAAAAAATAAGCAACAACTTGAAATATAGTTATGAATATACATAATTATATGAGTATACAGGTATTCACAAATTCAGTACCATTTATTTGAAGTAATTGTGCAATGATAACAAAGCGTTAGCCACCACTTGCAGAGATGGCAGCGATAGTACAGGACTGATGGAATATAATGTTCACATATGAAGTGATTCCGGGTAGTGTCAGTGGTGGATGTGCTGGTGCAGTGTCGCATAACGGAACCGGAAAGAGGCTGCGGGACTGGAGGAGGTCATAGGGAGGCTGTGAGCTGCCCACCGTGCTCCAAAGGCGTGGAGCGGGGGGGAGCGGGGAGGGGGAGGGGAAGGGTGGGTCCGAGGTGTAATTAAAGCTGCAATCAGAATCGCAATCTGTCCCCGGAGCAGTCGCGACACATTGACGTTTGTTCGCGGTGACGACGCTCGGAATTGCTCAGCGTCAGTAATTATCCAATCATATTACGTGATGGTTCGGTGTGAGGTTACAGAGGGTGAATTATTCTAAATACCTACTTGTAATCAGTCTAGGATAAAGTGGTCATCTACAGGCACTTCCGGTGCTAAGCCGTCACTGTACATTGGAAGCGCAATTTGTACGATAACACTTTATAATAACGTTAGTGTCTGTACTCGGAAACATGGGGCCGCGTTATATCCGAAATAACTTCAGTACTCTGCTTAATAACTGTATGTTATTATTTATTTGTAAGAAAAACAATGTAACTTATCAATAATGGGACAATAAAATAAATAAAATCAAGGTAGTAACTAACAGCTTCCTGCCTGTTTCAAGAAAGCTACAATATAATTTGTCCGTCATCGGCAAGTCACTCGTGGTTTACCATTTACCATACGACGACCAGTAAGGAACTGTTATATAATCGTGAAGAGGTCAAATTAGAAAAAATGTTTTCGTGTTAGGTAGACCGTTTATCGAGGAAGGCTGTAGGCTTGTACGTACATGTTGAGAGCGAAGAGGTGAGAGTGTACTGCGTATGTATGGACTGAGTACACGATATGTATCGACGGGGAGCGAGGGAAGATCAGGATGATCGCATGCCGTGGCCACATTCAGTCCACTGCGTCGTACACAGAATGTTCCCTTTAATTTGCAACACACAACATCGCCGTAAATCACTCGGTTGGCTCGAGAGGGATATTAAATTCATAGCGTGGTGCTCCGACATTATAACACAACAAATATTGTTCCTTGTTGCGGCTCGCTTTATATTGTATGCTATCGACTTCCACTGCCAAAAATACAGTAAGAGACAGAAATAAAATGTTACACGGCACTAGCACAGTATAGTACGCCACGGTAATCTATACACATAATAAAACAGTAACATATTACATCTGTACAAACAAGATTACAAAAAAATAAAAAACAGGGTGACTAAATAAAACTAATAGATCCGTCTGCTCGTATACCGGCTTATGCCATAAAAAAAAAAAAAAAAAAATAGAGTTCATTTTTGAAACGAAAAATATGTTTGTATGTTTGTCTGCATTGTGGCTGAAGCATCATCAAATAAATTTATTTTCTTACTTTCTCTTTTTTTAAACAAAAGTACCTTGCAAGCCTTCGGTACTTTAAGGTTAACGAAGATGTCAAAAAAGGAGAAAACAGAGAGCAAAATTAAGACAAAATGTTGCCAAATACGGTACCAAAGAGCAGTGGTTGGTGAGAGTCGGCCTAAGCGAGCACGTGGTAATTAAAAGTACCTATATAATAACACGTACTGACTGACTGACTGACTGATTCATCAACGCTGAACCCAAACCATCAGGCCTTAAACATTAACACGTTAACCGCCGCGTAGGTCACCGGTGACTTACGTTAGCGAAGGATTTGCCTTCAACAGTTCTCGGTCGGTAGTCAAAGGCTTAATTTTGGACTGTGTACATTCACTTTGTCATGATAATGACTATTAAGAAATTATTTAAAAAATCCATGGGTACCTTAGAGAAAAACTGAGGATGGTATTAAGATTTTTAAATGAATTTAAACAAAGTTTTGTATTTCGGTTATGAACGAAAAAAAATAAATACGTGTTTTAGGAATTTTTGACAAAATGGTAAGAAACTGACATTGATCTAGAGGTACAGTTGACAAGTAATTAAGAAATAATGAATGAAGAGCCCTTGTTCGACCGGCGACTGCAGCGCAAATAAAATGTTATTTCCATGATATTGTTGAAGTTTTACACGGCTCGAGTGTGCGGCTTACGTAACCTAGTATCCACAACTTGCACCGCGCCCCCCTCCCCCGGCCCACGACCTCCGCCCCCCGTACCTCTGCTCACGTTGAACTGCTCTAAAACGGATTCTCTTTACAATATTTCTTTTCCAGTTCGAATGTGAATTTCCCGCGGCGATGTGAACTATTCATGCGCTCCAAGAGGAAAATTTATTGCGAGATATTTTTTGATTTGAAACAAAGTTTTAATATTACAATGACATCGGCGCAGCTGGTCATGTGACACACGGCTCCGTGTCTCCAGTCGCTGCTACTCACACAGCTCTCACTACAGACGAGACTGCTGTACGAGATATAAGCGTTGTACTAGACTTTACATATCACCTATGACTAACATAAGTAGGGTAAGGTAGTAAGGGTTCATTTCAGTTAGGAGTCTCTCGTCCCGCCTTGGAACCAAACCCGGAAGTCCTCGCTACGCAGTTGCACTTGCGATCCACCACCAACGACGCAATCGTATCTGTGTGTATGAGAGATATAATGGTTATATTGAATGATGGTAAACTTGTCAAGCAGTTACAGTCGTCTCACCTTCACAACAGTAAGTGGCCTAATTTTAATTCCATAGTACCTGAATACCTGAATCATTGAAGATTTCAAACGATAATTTATGAAAAGCGTGGCGGAGGCTGGCGCGCCGACCATTCTGCTGCCTTTACATATTTTCAGTTGGAGCTATTGAATGTGGTGGCCGATGTATTAATGCGGGGGAGAGGGGTTGCTAGGTGATGAGGGGAGGGGAGGGGGGCGGGTTAGCCACGTCAGCAACATCTCGCAGTCGTATGACGAGTGACGAGCAGTTTATTTGTAAGGAGTCGGTGATCGGCCGGGAGCGAGCGTCGTTTGTTATCTGGAGCACCGCCGGCTCGTTAGCTGTATACGTATTACGTATAGATATGTATATGTTTACCAGTAACCTCACCTCCTGCGTGCTGGATAGTAGTCGTAATTAATTAATTAAAAATTGCTTAACAGATCTATATGCAGTTTTCACTAGTACATTGGAATTATCCTACTATAACTTGTTAGAGATGTATTCGGGAATATTTCAGATTTGACGTGTTTGTTT